ACGAAGGCTACTTTGCATGCTTGTGCTAGTCACCACATTGATCACAAAAATACAAGGCAAGAACCTTTGTAAAGATGGCATGGCATAGATCAAAATATATGTAGAGCTCATGCCCATATGCAGCACATAACAAATGTGACCAAAATGACAAATCCTCATAATCTGATAAGTAACAGGAGTAAACATTTATAGCACTCTTGCATCAATGATATGGGCATCAAGATGGACTCAAACAAGCATGTCACAATGGAATGAAATGGAGAGCATCTCCCAATGAACATTTTGATATATCCTGCGCATGAAACAGAGCTACGGTCACAGAGTTATGGCATGATGAATAGGGGCATAAAATGTGAGGGGGAAAGGACTTAGGAAAAATATACCCGTCCGAAAACAAATCTAGGGTTTCCAGCATGGATCTCGAGGTTCCCCGGAGAAGCCGACGACGACGAGGGAGATGACCGGAGGAGGATGAGGAGGTCGGGGGAGGGGCGCTCCGGGCCGGATCTGGCCGGATCCGGCCGGATCCCGGCAAGGGCGGCGCAATGTAGGCGACAGGGCGGAGCAGCGGGTGGTGGAGCGCGCGGATAGCGGGGCGCCGGCGACAGGGAAAGGACGACGTCGACGGCGGACTTGTAGGAGGCGAGGCGCATCGGCGGCGGACTTGTAGGAGGCGAGGCGCGTCGGCGGCGATGGATCGGCGGCGGGGATCCCGACGAGGGCGGCGAGCGGCGCTCGAGAGGGAGTCGGGCGCGGTGGAGCAGCGGTGGCGGCAGGAGCAGGGCGGAGGCGCCGGTGACTGGTGGCGGAGGCGGCGGGCGAGGCGGCGAGTGGCGCAGGCGGGCGGCGGCGCGCAACGCCGGCGGACGGGCGGGCGCGGCCCGGTTCGGGCCCGGCGGGGGCCGAATCTGGGCTCGCGGGCCCGCGACGGCGCGCAATGGGAGACGTAGGCGGCAAGGACACATGGAAGACGAGGATTGGGCGCGGGGCGGCGGCGCGTACATGTCCGGTGGAGGGAGAATGTGTCCAGCAGCGCGAGGAGAGACTAGGATAGGGTTCATCCGTGAATTTTGGACGGGGAGGACATATTTATATGTAGGAGGAGTTTGGAGTGTCCAAAAGAGGTGTAGTTTTCAACCACGCGATCGCGATCCGACGACGAAGGACATGGGAGTGGTTTGGATGGGTGATTGGACCGTTTTGGAGAGGTGTTGGGCTGCGACACACATAAGGCCTTTGTGGTTACCCGGTTAACCGTTGGAGCATCAAACGGACTCCAAATGACACGAAATTTGACAGACGGTCTATCGGTGGTGTACCAAGGCCACTTGGCAAATCTCGGTCCATTCCGAGAATGTTTAACACCAGCACACAAAAAGAGACAAGAGGGGGACATTGGAGGACGTAGGAGTGTCGGATTGCAGAACGGACAACGGGGAAAATGCTCGGATGCAAGAGACGAACACGTATGCAAATGTGATGCACATGATGACATGATATGAAATGCATGACATGAACAAAAGCAAAATAAATACCAAACCCAACCACTAAGGGAAACTCATATCGCATCTTCGAAAAAGGCAAGAGTCGGAGTTACAAATATGGAAAGTTGCATCCGGGGCGTTACACCCATATAAACTGAGTAGATATGATAGTTTGATACTCTCACAAAAGATATTATTGCCACCATAGGTGATGATTTTTTTTGAATGGCCATAGGGTATGTTGATTCCTACCCGATATCACATGCTAAAGGTTACAATACATACATAATCATCCTCGCTATTTCACATAGTGCAAAATAACCCACCCGTATACAATGATGTGCACTAAACTGTTGATGCGAGCTTTATGTAAACAAGTGGCTTAAGGTTGATTTTCATATTATTTGAAATAGTGCCCATAAAGATTTTTGGAGACACCTTAAGTACACTTGCAACACCACTTATCATGTTGGTTGTATGGCATCATTAAAGGTTTCAATGAATTTGCTAATGTCGTGTGTATAAGAGGTGATTTTTTTCTCCCGTTGCAACACATGAGCATGTTTGCTAGTAAATAACATAGACCTATTGGGGGGCCTATTGGTCAGGAACATTTGTTTATTTTTTCTTCCATTGCAACGCACGCGCTATTTTGCTAGTTACACAAAAAAAACTTCATGTAGATTTACAATCCATATCAAAGCCTATGCAAGAGTATTCGCAAAAAAACCCAATGCAAGAGTACACCATTAGAGCATCTTTAGCCGTACTCTGAGAAAGGCCTTCCTAGACGATTTTTTCGTGCCGGCGCCAAAAAAACGGCCTAATCACGCCCCAGGAGCCCGATTTTCGCCGGCCTGGGCCGAAATCAGCGTCGGCGGACCCAAGCTGAACCCAGTGCATTGGGACGCCCGGGGGCGCCGGGGCGAGTTGTTTCGGCGCGAAGCAGCCACGGGCCCGCCGAGTCAGCGAGACGGGCGCTTTGTCACCCTCATTGCCTCGGTTCCCGCGGGAATCAATGCCAAGGGTGCCGCCCTGCCGCCACCGGTCAGCCTTGCCATTGATTCCTCACGGACGTCGCGTCATGGGGCGGCGCGCCGACACCTCCCCTCCCGCGCACGCGTACACACGGGCGCGGCTATATAAGCCGGTGGCCTTCCTCGCCTCTGGCCACACCAGCCCTAGCCATCGAGCTCTGCCTCTCCCGTGCGCCGCCGCCAAGCCCTCCCTCTCCCTCTCCCGTGCACCGCCGCCGAGTCCTCCCTCTCCCTCTCCCGATGGCCGAACGTTTCCCCGGCAATGAGACAGCGGCCAACGGCTTCGGCCGCCGCTCTCTCCGCGAACAAGAGTCGTGGCTCCTGTTCGAGGCCAACATCCTGGCGCCGCTGGACATGCGCACCGGGCCGACGGGGTGGAGGCTTAGCAACAGGGGAGTGCCCATTCCACCGTTGCCCGACGCCGTGGCGCGCGCACCCTACTTCGCCGCCGAGGTAGAGATCGTGCGCTCACCGACGAATAGCTCGCCCTGCCCTAGTACGCCGCCGACAACCACGCGGCGTGGACGGCGTACTTTGAGCGCTGTCAGCAGCAGAGGCTGGCGTCCACCAACGGGCGCCGGTGGTGGGCGGCACGAAGAACAGCGAGGGGCGCCACCTGTGGTGGGGCGTCTCTGGCCGCACGCTCGAGGGCGTGCTGACGCACCTTGAGGGCGGCAACAACCCGTCGCTGGCATACCCTCCCCGGTGAGGGCGGCCGCCCCGGCCCACCGCCCCGGCCCACCGCCGACGCGCCGGGCAATGGATGCCCAGGAGGTTAGGCTCCTCCTCGTCTTCCTCCTCGCACTCTTCTTTCCACTCCTCCGGCTTTCCGGCTCTCCACCGCTGCTCGGCGTCAAGGCCGAGCCCGCGGCGGAGACGCCTTTTGGCCGGCGCACTCGCAGCGCCGGCATCGTCATCAACGAGGGCGGCCAGCGTGCCTCCTCGTCGGCTCCTCCGCGCTTTGTCAAGCCAAAGACGGAGCCGAGGCTCGCGCCGGTGAAAACGGAGCCAGGTCTCCCCGCCGTGAAGACAGAGCACGGTGACGTTGAGCTCGACGACGACGCGGCCCTGGAATGGGCGCGAAAGGACTACTTGAAGATGGCGAGGGAGCGCCAGTGCGCCGCCCTTCGGCGGTTCGAGCAGCGCCGCCGGGGCCGCGACGAAGGAGTCGTCGTCGTCATCGAAGATAGCGACGACGACGACGCACCGCCGTCACCAGTCCGCCATGGCGACGCCGGTCAGGGGTCCACCAGGGACGGTCGCGTCAAGGAGGAGAAGGCCGCCGACGACGACGGCGGCGAGGATGGCGGCGACGACGGCGATTACTCGACGTCCAGCGATTTTTTTTAGTTATATTTGCTATGTAATCGGCCGAACATGTTTAATATATGCCAAAGTTTGCCGAAATTTAGCCGTGTTTAACCGAACTTTGCCAAACGTTTTTTTTTTTGAAAAAATTAGACACATCTGGGGGCGGTCCTGGGGCCGGCGACTGAGGACCAATTCGCCTCAGGCCCTTTTTTGTGCCGGCTCGTCCCCAGGCGGCGATTTTAGGCGCCCTCTGGGGGGCAATGGCTGAAGATGCTGGGCCGAAATCTCTGGAACAAAAGCAGAGTATCCTTTTCGCAAAAAAAGCAGAGTATCCAGAGATAGATATAAAAAGCAGGGACCTTGCAAAAGGCAGCGAGGGTGGTCCGCCAGGGAAAAATCATAGTCAGCTTCCACCCCCACTTACCAGCCGGCAGCGCTAATCTCGTAACAAAACCCACCAATAGGATTCTAAGCTTTATTTCCCAGAGATTTTTATTCTATCTCTCTCTTTCCGCCGCTCCGCCCGTGCGTTCGGCGCAACAGCAAACCGATCGCAATGCCTTGCGTGCCAGCTCCAATCTCCTAGCCGCCGCCGCTCGTCCGCCTGCATCTCCAACCGCAATCCTCCCCCGATTCTCCCGAGTTCAGTTACCACTGCCCGTACCACCACCACTACTTGAACCCACCGCCGTCAATCTGCGTCGGGGTTTAGCAGCTCCGCCCGTCCGTCCCCAAAGGTCCGCCTTTTCTTTCTCCTTCACAAACTCGCAGTCAAAAGGAAATTCCGACTCCATCTTGAGTAGCGGCAGCGGTAGCAGAATTTAAGTGGCGCCGCATACTCGCCGTCGTCGCCAAAGATGTGACTCTGTTTTTCGATTATTGTTGATTCTCTCATCGGCGGCGTAGAGCCTAAATTTCCGGCGTAACTTTGGGTTGTTTCGCAGGTCCAGCGGCGAAGAGTAAAGGAACCTGCCCGGATTCAAAGCGACGGGATCGGATTCCATCCCGTGGATAAATTGCCACCGATCGCCTTTTTTCCTTCCTTCCTTCCGTCGGTGTGCCGGTGCGGCGGCCGGGTAGCGAGAGGGGAGGTCCAAGGATAGGTGGGAACTAGAAGGCCGGTACTGCTGGCTCCTCCGTTTGGTTTGCAGGGGAGGGGTTCAGTCAGATGGGGGCCATCATGTGCTGCTTACGCGGCCGCGGCCCCGGCGACGACGCGCCTGGCTGCTGCTGCCTGCCATGGCCTTTCCTGAACAACGATCGCAACAACGATAACAACAACAACAACAGCAATCACAACTCGGTATGCTTTTACCTATCTGTTTGTTTTGTACGTCTTGTCTGGAGATATTTGGTGCAGTTGCGGTGATATAGACATGTGATGGATTTAGTCATGGTGTTGGTGAAATGCACGGAACTTGTGTTGCGTAGTGGCAGATGGTGGGTGGATTTTCCGTCTTCCCGATCCTCGCATGCGCTAGTCATGCCCCAGGATCGCATTGCCGTGATCTCAGAATAGCGGATGTTCATTATTGTGTTCATTTAATTGCGTAATTTGTAAATTAGTAGTAGATAAACCATGAACGGATATTAGTAGTTTGCATGGAGCCTATCTGGTTTTATTACCCTGAGACTTGTTTGACAGTTGAGAGCTGCTATTCTCAGAAGTTGGAAGTGGACAACTCGGTACTGAATAAGTAAGATACTAACACCCAATTACAAACGGCCAGTCCGTGTAGCTTGAAAATTATTACAGTACTAAACAGTTTGGTATACTTATTAATGGTGCCACATTTGTCCAGAATAATTGCATGTTCTGTCTGGACCTTCTGTTTCAGTCAGCTGCTATGCACTGGTATCATCTAAATGTTTTATTCCCCCACAGGGCGGTCCTGCTCGTCAAAGAGCAAATACACGGGTTGCGCCTGTTCAGGGAAGGGTTCCTCCTGCGGGTTCACGGCAGGATGATTCAATGAACACCTTCCGCTGCCCTCCTAGGCCTTTGCCTTATGATGATCCTCAATTCAGACATCAAACGGAGCGCCACCCGCTGGTGGCAGGACATAACAAGGCTTCAACGCAATCCCAGAAATCTAAACTACTTGAAGAAAACAATGATGCTGATACCAGATCAACTTGTGCCGATCAGAAGGCTGATGGACCGTCCCTGAAAGCTGAGTCGGGAGGTAAAAAGATCGGGGGAGCTCAAGTCTGTGTTCCTTCTGATTCTGAGGATGATTGTCCAATATGCCTAGAAGGTCAGTGAAAACAATTACCTGTTTTACAACTCCTTCACTATTCAGAATTGCAGCATCTTGTATTTTCGCTCTGGGGGATTTACAATTTACACTTCGCATATATCATATAAAGTACACAAGAAAGAGAGAATCTGAAACATTATTGTGTCAGTTGCAAAAATATACTCCCTCCGTTCCTAAATATTTGTCTTTTTAGAGATTTCAAATGGACTACCACATACAGATGTATATAGACATATTTTAGAGTGTAGATTCACTCATTTTGCTCCGTATGTAGTCACTTGTTGAAATCTCTAGAAAGACAAATATTTAGAAACGGAGGGAGTACGTGTTTGTTCATTTTAATCATTATTGTTAATGAATATGTCTTAATTAATCAGTTCTCATTGATAGCTGGTTTGTTATCATTTTATCAAATTGCTGCCACGTGAATACATCTACTCTGGCAATGGTAAAGGAAAACAAATGTAGCATTCCATAACTCTGAATTTATATCCTTGTACTTTGTGCAGAGTTGTTTGCTCTTCTTGTCTTCTGATTGTTTCTTATTTACAGAGTATGATTACGAGAATCCAAAGATAGTGCTTCAGTGCAACCATAATTTCCATCTTAGTTGCATTTACGAGTGGATGGAAAGAAGTCAATCTTGTGCGGTCTGTGCCAAGGTATTAAACTTATACGTAAAATCCCTTTTTTTCACCTGAGAAGGGAAGCATTAGTAGGTATTTGATCTAATCTGGCAAAAATCATGTCAAACATTTTGACTGCTGAACTGCTCCATTGTAGGTAATGTTGTTTAAAGAGGACCAATAACATGCTGGCTGCAATTCTTTACACATGCTGAAGACCCAGGACTGAATTGCTTAGGTTGTGTACATAGCATTGGTGAAATCATGTCGCTAGATTGTTTGCTGAAACCTCTAGCGGTGCGAAGATTTGGCTTTTCCTTCTAGAGCAGTTCATGTTTCTCTTTTCTCCACGAATTTAATGATTTCTGCCAATGCACACCTGGCATTTTTCAAACTGATGTTACTTTGGTGAACGGTGGGTGATCGCACTGGCTTGACATGCTCAAGTATAATGCTCTGGAAACTTCACAAGTTACATCCACTTCTTTGCCAATAGCTATTTTGACATCATTTCAATAGTTTCCATCTAGAACCATGTAGTTCTAGAATCAAGATGCAGCGTATGCTTACCCCTAGTGTATCGTTATTATTGAATGAGTTCAAATTGAGCATGATTTATCAAGTAGAAACAAAATTGAGGTTTCTCAGACTTGAAATCACCAATTAATTAGGGGATACCCTTGCAAAGGTCAATACCACCTCCTCTGGTGGTGACAAGTGGGCATGTGAACCAACCACGGAGTTTTGGTGTGTTTTCTCACAAAGCGCTTGAGGATGTGAGGTTTTCTGTTTGTGTCTTTTTTTCTTCTTCTTAGATTCGTTTGTTTCAAAATGATTTATCACTCGTACCGCGTGTCCAAATGATGAACCGCTTTCACCTTTGTGTTTCTCGCGCCTAGGTTTTCAAAACTCGGTCCACTTTGGTAGGTTTTGATGAACAGTTTTCTGCAAAATCTATGCTCCAAGCTGTACTAATCCATGCTTCAAAACTGACTAAAATGTGCTTCAAACTATACTAAGGTGTGCTTCACTTTTTTTGGGACGCACAGTCGCTTTTTCACATGAGTAGCACATGTGTGCTTCACACGAAAAACCAAAATAAAAGAACCGAAGATAGAAAAAACTGCAAATAGAAAATACATAAACAAAAAACAAAGATCAAAAAAATGGAAATTAAAAAACCAGGAACCATAAAAAAATCAGAAATACAAAAGTGGAGACCAAAAAAAGCTGAAAACCAAGCGATAAACCAGAACAATAAAAAATGAAAAAAAAATAGTTGAGGCGAAAACATAGTTGATAGTTGTGTTTTCACGTAAAAGCACAACTATGCTTCACGTAGAACGACACGTGTGCTTTATCTTTTTAGAGAAGCACAACCGTGTTTCACTTTCTAGAGAAGCAAAACTGTGGTTACAACTACGAAAAGATAAATCCCGAACGCTTGGATTTTGCCAATGGCAATCAAATCTTTTTTATGACAACCTTAGTTGACGCGAGGATGGCAAATTTAGTTGGCACCCATGACAATTTTCTATCAAAAATAACTCACGGGTGAAATTGCCATGGTTACCAACCAAACTTGTTATCCCCGCATCAACTATATTTATCATAAAAAAACATTTGATTTGTCATGGGCAAAATCCGAACGTTCGGGGCTTATCAGGATCCTACAATTATGCTTAATACTCGTGCTTCACTTTTTTTAAACACTGTTGTACTTTCACACACGGAAGCACAACCCTGGTTCACACGAATGTGCCTCTTACACTTCTGTCATACAAAAAATTACAAAAAATGAAGAAACAAAAAAAAATCTTGTAAGGACAGATTTTTAAAATCAAAATACTGAAAGAAAGATGAAACCTAAGAAAAAACTGAATAATACTATCCTGGTGTAAGAAGCGCCCAGCGCGCGACATGTGTCCATTGGGACACCCGGTGAAGGGGTGACCCCCAATTAATTTTTTTTGCGGGTGACCCCCAATTAATTGCTCGTATTTTGTTGTTGCATGGAGAATTGTACTTGGGTTTGTATTTTAGTTTAAGTGAGCCTTAAATGGCCCAGGATACAACTAAAGAATAGTCGGTCCACAACTTTCTCCATCCTACATAATGGTGTCCCGGCTGAGTGGTCTCTGTCTTTCACCATGTCGGTTCTCGGCCTGGTGGACTGGGCTGAGGACCCCTAGGTCAGTTTCGTCGTGAGCCACATTTGTCGGCCTCTGTCGAATTACGAAGACTCCGGAAGACTTGGCGTACAATATGAAGATAATGGAATCGTGGAGGACTCTATTTCCATCGACGTAGCCGACTAGGATATGTAACCCTATGAGCCTTGGTATGTTACATAAGCCGGGGGTCGGGCTCGTTGATAGGAAAACTTAGAATACCTTGGTATTCACTTGTACTTTGTACACACGCCAATGCAATATACGGGAGCAGGAGTAGGGTATTATCTTCACCATGAGAGCCAGAACCTGGGTAAATCCTTGCATCATGTTACCATTCATCCAAGTCTCCTAGCTAGGACACCCAATCGAGGGATTTGCCGGACTTAGCTCCGGTAGTGGTGGCCCATGCAGGCCATTTTAGGCGAAAGCCGTGATTCGATGGGAGTTCAGATCAACACTCTGATCTGTTCCGGCACGACTTTGTCTCGGGGCATATGTTCGCCTTCAGCGTCGCACCTACATTGCCGACTCGACTATCCATTTCAGCCAGGTCAAGACTTTTGCTGCAGGACGGATCGTTAGATTCGGCAGCATGGAGTTCCCCAAAGATTCCTGCAGGGAGCTGATCTTCCATGGTTTGCCATCTCGCCGGATCCAGAAGTAGCAGGAGCTAGTTCTCTCAATCTTGATGTCAGATCGGATCTTGGAGCAGCCGGAAGAAGTCAATTTTTTCGACCCACCCACTACTCATCTTGTCGCCAATGTCGAAGATGTCACACATATCGTCGAGGGTGCCACCGAGGAAGAGGAACACATGGAGGAGACACATGAGTCTGCGGACAAACAGGCTGCCTGCCGTGATGCCTTTACATCGGTGGTGATACGTCTCCAACGTATCTATAATTTTTTATTGTTTCATGCTATTATATTATCTTTTTTTATTATTTCATATGCATTAATATGCTATTTTATATTATTTTTGGGACTAACTTATTAACCTAGTGCCCAATGCCAGTTTCTGTTTTTCCTTGTTTTTGACTTTTACAGAAAAGGAATATCAAACGGAGTCCAAACGACATAAAACTTTACGGTGATTTTTCTTGGACTAGAAGAAACCCGCG